CTCCATTGTCACACCCTGCTCGATCATAACACCTGTAAAAGTGGTAAGATTAATAGTTCTGTGCTGCAAATTCAGACATAACCCATAGATGGGTCATTCTCTAAAAAAGTAACATTTCCTGTCCAAATGAATTTCCTTGAAAACAACTCATAATTCTGTTTTCAGATTACTTGACAATGAAGATATTTATCAGATGTATGCAATATTCTGATCAAATTACTGCTATAACCTTATGTTAGCCAGTAAAATACCTTAAATGTGCAGAAATGTGCAGAAATTTATTGTCCACAAATACAAAATCAAACTTTCTTAAATTATCTAAAGTCTCTGGGAACAAATACTTCCCAAAGCCCTGGTGATTTATGTAGCATGACATCATTAAAGGCTGATAACAGCAGAAAAGCTTTTGGTTTTCCACTTGGATTCATTATTTTTGGCAACAGTAATTTTGTCCAGAGTAATAGTGTCTGTCTTGTCACCAGAAAGTACAAATACAAATAATAATTGCTCCTTTGGTAAGCCAGAAGGCTAAGGTCTTTGCAGGTCTCTTCCTTTCCAGTACTATCATGGCACCATATGCTCAAGCAATTTATATTGGTGCAGTGTCTTCAAAATAACTGGTAAATGTTGTCTTTTGATGTGTACTTTCTGTAGGTGTCTGTGCTGTCACCATGCATTTTAGGTTCCGAAATTGTTATTAAAAAAATCAAATATAATGAGTATATTTGACTGTCAGAATGGAACTCAACCAGTGTGCTTTTTTTAGTGCAAGAGAGAAGTCATTGCCCTAAGCTGGCATTATATCATAGTTTGTCTCTCCTGTCCCGGTCTCTGCTGTCACCTTAAAAAAAGTGACAGGACAGACATATTTAGGCGACAGCACAGACTTATAGTGTTCAATAAATGTTTCAACATATATATATTAAAGACAAAGAAAACATGAATGGTAATGTATTTTGTATGTTTGCTTGTTGCATGAAAATCTGAATATTATCAACATTTGGGTCAATAAACACTGATTACACTGCACAGTAGATCTTTGGTAACAGCACAGACTTTTAATAGTGACAGCACAGACATATTTCAGTGACAGCAAAGACATTTTAAGATTTTCTTTAGCATATTGACACAAATAATGAACAATTATTCATTTACTCGCATGACTGTTGTACATGATTAAGAAATGTAACATATTTAGCAAATTTAAATGAAAGTAATGTTACATGATCACTTCAAACACCGTGTCTATGAGTGACTGTGACAGCACAGACACTTAACAGTAACAGCACAGACATTTAGTGTTTAATAGAGATTTTGAGAAAGTTTTGTTCAATGATTCAGTGTCTTTAAAACTCTATCTCTTAGGCTTTTGTTAGTTACAGGAAAATTTGAATTTCCATTAACATTTGGGTCAATAAACACTGATTACACTGCATAGTAGATCTTTGGTAACAGCACAGACATTTAATAGTAACAGCACAGACACTTTCCAGTGACAGCAAAGACATTTTAGGATTTTTTTATCAAGTTGACACAAATAATGAACAATTATTCATTTTGCTCGCCCTACTGTTGTACATAATTAAGAAATGTAACATATTTAGCAACTTTAAATGAAAGTAATTTTACATGATCACGTCAAACACTGTGTCTATGCGTGAGGGAAAGAGAGAAGTGGAGGTGTGTCCTGACAGAATGGAGTGTATGAGTGGGGGAAAGGGAGAAGTGGAGGTGTGTGCTGACAGAATGGAGTGTATGAGTGGGGGAAAGAGAGAAGTGGAGGTGTGTGCTGACAGAGTGGAGTGTATGAGTGGGAGAGAGAGAAGTGGAGGTGTGTGCTGACAGAATGGAGTGTATGAGTGGCGGAAAGAGAGAAGTGGAGGTGTGTGCTGACAGAGTGGAGTGTATGAGTGGGGGAAAGAGAGAAGTGGAGGTGTGTGCTGACAGAATGGAGAGTCGGAATGGGGGAAAGAGAGAAGTGGAGGTGTGTACTAACAGAATGGAGAGTCGGAGTGGGGAAAGAGAGAAGTGGAGGTGTGTACTAACACCATAACCATCAATGTTGTGTAAAATTGTCTGCAATGTCCCTTCCTTGGAAATAAATTTTTGAATTTTGGACATGAACCGACAATGTGTCATCCTCCGATTAAACTAGCTTGTTCAGTGGGTTGTTGTGTAAGGTTTACATAAACAAAGTGGACACTCTTCCTTTCTATACTGCACAATGAAATCTTGCTTATCCTTATCATCATCATCATCATCATTTGGTGTTAGTTCTGATGCTACTCCATCTTTAGTACTTGTAGATCTATGAACACATTCTAAAAGAGTTCTCCACAGAGTACAACTGACAATAAATTACAATGGACAACTGTCATAAGGATGACAATAATTAAAATGAACACAAAGGAGTCTGACAATTAATGTAGCCTTCCCACATAACAGCTCCTAATATTTCCACAGTAGTTACAGGTGACAGATTAGTCTGTCTGTCTGTTGTTTAACGTCGTACTCAGCAATATTCCAGCTATATGACGGTGGTCTGTAAATAATCGAGTCTGGACCAGACAATCCAGTAATTGACATCATGAGCATCGATCCCCGCAATTGGGATCGATGACATGCATCAACCAAGTCAGCGAGCCTGACCACCCGATCATCCGATCCCTTTTCCGACAAGCATAATCGCCTTTTACGGAAGGCTTGGGTTGCTGAAGACCTATTCTAACCCGGATTTCACATATTAGTAACTATTATTCTTTCTGGAATGACATTTTGAGAGCCACTGTGAGGTTAAGTCCCGGTCAACATTCTAATTCCAATGACACATATTATAGATAGTATCAGAAAAAATTAATCTTTTGTCTTGGAACACATTCATCCCATTATTGAAACTTTCAACATATCAACATAATGTAACGTTCAGGTATCCTTTGCCTAATTGTAATCATCAGGATACTTGTAGACAACTGTATAATCAAATCAGAATGATCGTTCCAAACCAACCAAGTCGGGCATCGGACATGTCAAATTTATCACAATGTTAATATCTAGCAACTTCTTTCAATAACGTCGCATGTATAATGCAGCTGCTGTAAAATGCATGACCAACCAGAAACTTGTTTGGAAGACATGATGAAGAAGCTTAACGGTACCGGTGTGACCGTAACCAGTTTCATTGTAACAGCATGTCCTTTGTATCTGGTCTGCTTAAGAGACAGTTTACTTAAACATGTAATTGTAAGAGATAGTTTGGAAAACATATGCCCAATGAGGTACAACTTTGAAATAGAAAAGCTTATGGCTCCAGCTACCTTTATAAGAAATATAAAAACACTTCTGGTTTAATAACTATACTTCTGCTTCATAAAAATATGGGCAGCCATTCGGTAAGAAAAAACATCAGCTGAGAAAAGGTGTGGTGAAATGAGGTTTAAAGTCACATCAAAGATTATTGCACTTGTACAGCAACATGCGTACATAGTGTGTGTGTATGGCTGCTGGGACTAAAGCCAATTTTATAGTGCTAGCCCACTGAGAAACCATGCTGCAGTTGAACATGAATACCCAACTCAGAAACAGTGTACGGACTCTGAGCAGACCAGTAATTGTTCTTGCTCCTTATTGTCGAGCGCCAGGCAGGGTAACAAAAAGTACGGTCTTATAACGTCTTTGGTATGACGAGACCGGGGATCGAATTTTATACAACTTTTAGTGAATCAAATATGGCATTCTCTCACAACTGAGGTTTGTTTCAATAGTTGCAATCTGATCGGGTTGCTGTAACTAAGTGTGTGTTGGTGTGAAAATATGGAAAATAATGAAATTTATGGGAGCAATATAACAAATAACAGAGATCAAGTCCCGTAACTGTGTACACTCAAAATCTAAAAACAAGCAGCAGGGGCCATAACTCTGTAAAAAAAATTAAAAATTTCAGCACCAATTTTCGAACTTAGTCTTGACAAGTATCAGTATCTCTTATATAAGCTAGCAAACAAACATTTATGTAATTTAGGTAATTTCTGAAAAACTTTTCCATATTTCACGCATTATGCACTAAGTTGAAAAGCATGGAGCAAGGGCCTTTAACGGTAAAAAATGAATTTAAGACATCAATTTTCATACTAATTTAAGATCATGACCAGTAATATGTCTAAAATTTAATTTCTCCAACTCAAATAGTTTTTTATATGTAAAATGTGTTCCCTTTGAGAAGCCGACAGACAAACAGACAGAAAGAAGGAAGGATGGACAAACGGACAACTCCATTCCTGTATCGTATGAGTGAAAAATCTTCCATGCGAGGTTGACATTTGACACACCCATGACATGACATATATTGAGTTGGTTATTTTGATATTTTTTTTAACAGATTGAAAGATGCTTTTACTTTGTATGAATCAATCGTAAACTTTCTGAAATTTGAGCCTTGTTCCATGTGACCTTGACCCAATAGAGGTCACTCAAAATATAATTGCAATATATTGTGCGCACAGGCCAAAAGCATACTAAAAGCATGGCATTCAATGTTATCCAATCTGTTGTAAGTGTGTAGTTAAGAAAAACAATTATAGAGGTGATGGTGGAAGAGCTCAAATTGGAGCAAACACAGTGTGCTGCTTAATAACTTATTTATGGTGACCTTGTTCTTTGAGATAAATCCCTAGCAAGACCCCATCCTTGCGTGAAGGAGTGATGTTCAGTCTGGACAGGCAACCAGCATGAGCAATGCTTCATGCCATCTACCTTCACGATGATGGCAATCAGCAAGACACTCAGTTTCACCAGCCAATCCATCATAATTGACAAAATGCATGACTAAGACATGTTGCATGCAGTTCAGTAAGCCTTTGAAAAAGAATTCCTACATGAAATTGACTGAATTCCTACATAAATGCATATGACTGGAACATAATGTATTCAATACATTTACTTTAATGACTTCCATTATAAGTAGTGAAATTACAATTACTGTCTTGCAGTAGTCAAACACCTACCAGAATTTTTTTCAATGATGAAAACATCAGCCCCAGGTCCTGAGACAGCATATGATATCTTGGAGTATGGTGTGTTGGCTTCATCTTCATCTGATGCTTGGATGTAGTCAATGACAGAGTTTATAGGGACATTTTCTGCCACGAACTTCGTGTACACAGACTGCAAAAAACAATAAAAAATTACCCAGTGAGCATTATCTCTTTATATCTGTGTTAGACATTAAGGGGTTAATGTGTAGGACAATGCACGTCCAAGGTTTTTTAAAATATTTAAAACAAACATCCGCGGGATAAACCAAGGGGCATCAGCCTCAAGGTTTTATCCCAAGGATAAGGTTTTTAAAAACCATAAAAACCCGAGGGGAAGTGTATTATCTAACTTAATAAACTTAAAACAACATTTATGAACACTTTATCTATTTCAAAAATACTTTCCATGAACCTTAGGAAATGGGCGTACAATATCTGGTGTACGGTACTTGAAAAAGACATTCTTAAGTTGCATTGTGAGTTATCAGTGCCTCTGTAGCCGAGTGGTACACTCACTGGGCTACAGATACAAAGGTTGCGTGTTCGATCCTCGAGAATATAAAGAAAACATTTGTCATTCATTTTACATTTCATAACATTGTTTTCAAATGCAAAATAAATTTCTCACCAGAAACATTCATATGTTATATCTAAACGTGAGTTGTTTTAGCCATCATCACAAAATTCCGAAATAGCTTCAAAGTAAAAAGAAATTACATAATTTACTATTTATAGACCTGGGTAGCAGTAATTCATGTTGCGATCTCTGATTGGTAGATCTCAAAACTGTTTCATACGAAAAAGATGACCAGTAATATCAAACAATAGTGTTCATATAATATGTTCTATGAAGTGTAAATTATTACATGTATAACTAAAAAGAGGTGGCATTTGCATATTTCTGAAGTCTCTTTCAGATTTTGTTCATTGGACATTGGCAACTTTATTTCTTTGTGCAAACATTTCTCCTGTGATATTACAGATAAAACATATAAACAATGAAATGGTTGAAACAAAAATAGTCAAACGTCAACAAATTTGACTTTTAACAAGTCAAAGTATGGAATTTATGACATGTATCCATTCTCTGACAACTTAAGTTAATTAGGTTCATTGCAAGGTGTCAGTGGCAGTAAACAGACAATTTCACCAGAAATAATCTTAAAAGGCCTAAAATTTGAACAAAATACATATACATAAAAATATATTACAAACATAAGTCCAGATGTACAGTGAACACTTTGTTTTAGCAAGTTGTGTAAGAACAGGATAAACAAGTGCAAAAGTGAGCGTGGCTCACTAATACCCCCGACCCGCCTAGTGTGTCAGTAGTTACAAATTAAATAGCTAGGATAGGGTTAGGCAGGGTTCCCCCTAGACTCCAATATCTGAGTCACCTTGTCTCAGCCTATGAATTTTTGGGAGTCAAAAATATTTTTCGAGAGTCATATGTTTTATTGTATGATTAATGAAATTTAAACTGTTCACTGTTAATGTTACACTTAAAGTTAAGTATCTTTTAAATATTATATGTCTTTAGTTTAAGTAAACAAGTGCTAATTAATGTTCTCAGCTGATTGTACTTCAGAGAAATAAAGGGTATATGAATGAAAAACAAAGTTTGTTGGTTTTATTTTTTCACAATCTTTAATTACTTCACAGCTCATGAAACAATTTACAGTGACACTAATACAGGATGAATACATAACATCAGTCTCAACTGTGAGACATAATTTTTAATCATGGATGGATATTAAAATAAATTTCATGTCAGATTATAATTTAATACCACTAACTCATTTACATCTTTTATCTAGTTATCTTGTATTATCTATCAACAGTGAAGTTGAACTGAAGAATTGTGAATACTCGTAATATTTTTTTGTTGAATACAGTTTATTAGCAACAACAAACACGCCCAAAGCTTTACATTTCATATATACCATATTTATTCATGTATAATACACACTCGTGTATAATACGCACCCCTAATTATGGGCAATTAAATCCTGAAAAAAATATCTCTCGTGTATAATACGCACAGACTTTTCTTCAGTCTCATTTCAGGCTGTCATGATCCGTCATCGGAAATAGCATAACAAATCCAAATTGAATTACGCAAGTTAATCCTGTTGTTACACTATCTGGTAATAAAAATGTGTTCTCTGTATATCTGACCATATGTTTGTCATCTATTTTATTAATTTTATTTAAAATTTCATTCAATAATGTTTACCTAAATTTCAGCAAAAACATGTGTCCCTCTGATACTTACAACTTCCGTTTACCCTGTTCCATAGGTTCCGCTTAACCACATACTGTGACCGCGCCAAATCACATTATTCACCGCAACAATGATAACATTTTCTTCTGTATCATTTTTTACGAGTCTACACATCTAGATAAACATATGTCATGGTTAACTTTTAGTGAGAAAATATGCCGAAACGTGAAAAACCTTGTCCATTTGCGTAGTTTTCCTTTGTTTACATCACGTGCTGTTATCGAAGCCACACGGAGTGTGAGAGTTACGTTCACTTTGATGAATAAATATATTTTGTCGTGTACCTCACAGTCACACAGTTTTAGTAGCATATCTATATAATTATGCAAAACAATATGTAAAGCTCCCGGCTGTTCTGATTTTAGCATTTGTTTTAAAACGAGAGAAAAGTCTGGTCATGTGACAGGCTATGCAAATTAGCCCGTGGCAGTGGTGTTATGCGAAGTTATGTTACTTCTAAAAACGACGATTAATTAAAAACTAGACGTAAATTTTAAGATGTTTGCATATATTGTCTTCGGAAAATGTTTATAAATTAAGTTCAGGTGAGTAGTAATAATTTGATTCCAAAGCTGGTAAACAACAACATAGATATTTTGAAATTGCGTCAGTCATGACGCAGTCATTTATTTCTGGACGTATTTTTCCTTAATTGAGTGTCAGCCCTAGACTGCACCCCTTCATATGACACAGATTATATGTACTAAGTTTGAGATGAATCCACTGAATAGTTTAAGAGAAATCGCGCGGACAAAGTTTTCAGACGGACGTTAGGGTTTGAAAAATTCATTAAAAAATGGAAAATTAATCAAAACATTTTGTCGGGGGTATAACTAGCAGTTAAAAATTCTTCCATGTCTGAATGATGAGACCTGAATGGTTCACATGATCTTGATCAAATATGATGCTTACCGCCTAGAAGGGAAATAAATTTCTGAGACGGAGAATAAAATCCCTTATACCCTACTTAAAAGCCAAAAGCAGGACGCTTTTAACGAGTCAATGAATGTCATGTTTCATAGCACAAGTTAACCTCAGTTCAATCGAACAGCTGTTTCCTATTCATTTTGAACTAGTATTACCGGTAATTCTTTAACAGTGGCAGGTTAAAACATGTTGGTAAGATAAATTTGTTGTAGCTGTATCACTCTGGGCACATTTGGTTTTATGCGTTCCTCGTTTGGTTTTATACCACCCTCCTCCGGTCTAAGGTATAAAACCTAATGTGGGACAAATGAACCACATGTGTCAGGATCATGAGTAGTATAGGTAATAGGGGTTCTGGACCACTTCCACTGGAGCCAGATTTATTACCTATACTGCTACTACAGGGGGGATTTTTTATGCCAAAATGATTATGTGATTTAACGATAGTCATGAGTTGTATTAAACGAAACATCAATATTAATTAATAATTGATAAAATTTACTATAGCCCACAAGGATATTGGAAAGGTGTAGGAGCAATAAAAAAATTAGCCACCGCGGCTAAGGTATCTAAAGATGTGGCCAAGGATTGGTTAAAGAAACAAGCGATGTGGCAGATATACTTACCGGCACCGCGTTATATACCGAGGAAGAAGTTTGATATTTTTACAACGAATGAAGTTCATCAGGCTGACCTCTTGTTTCTTCCCCACGATAAGGTAAAACGCAAAACGTATCAATACGCTTTAACGGTAGTGGATGTGGCTAGTCGATACAAAGAGGCTGAGCCATTAACCTCGAAAGATTCAACAGAAGTAGCTAATGCACTGAGCCGCATATATAAACGCGGACCACTAAAATGGCCTAAGCTATTTCAAGTAGATCCCGGTCACGAGTTTATGGGATCAGTAACTAAACTGTTAACAAAGCAAGATGTCGAAATCGTCCGTGGTGAAAGAGAGGCCCACCGCAGTCAAGCTATCGTCGAAAGATTTAACCGGACATTAGCGGAACGTTTGTTTGGCTATCAGTATGGGATCGAAATGAAATCCGAGCGATTGAGATCAACCGAATGGGTGACACGATTATCAGCCGTTGTATCAGCGCTGAATAATGAAGTAACGAGATTAATAGGGAAGAAACCATCCGATGCTATTAAAATGAAATCCGTGACTTCCGAATCTTCAGCACCGAGGAGAGGCAAAGAACGAAAACTTCCGGATAGAGTAAGGGTAAGATATTTATACCAGCCCGGTGAACTCGAAGGAGGCCTACGTCGCGCAACCGATCCCATATGGTCCCTTAAGACGTATAACATTAGTCGATTGGTTACGAAAGAAGGAGAGCCTATTCTTTATTATCTTCAAGATGGACCGGGTAGGGCATTTGTACGAGAAGAGTTGTTCATAGTTCTCGACGGTACGGTATTACCACCATAACCATAAGCATAGGTAGTTACACCATCATTATCAATCCATCTCTTTGTATCTAAGGGGGATAATGATGTCTTGTTCATTCTTAATCCATATATCCTATGATTGTAACTTCTTAAAGAGTTCATCTCATGTTTGAACGATCTACCGTTGAATAATGATTCTTTATACTGTTCGTGTTTGATATGCTTTTTTACAACAAACTTCTTAACACCCTTAGCTTTTCTTATCTCTCCATTATCAGACTTTTTTATAGAATACATCTTAGGTCTTAATCCTACATACTCCGCTATAGGGGTCCCAGCACATTCATCCTTCTTCTTACCTAATACCTTTTTATTTACAACGCTGTGCAGTGGATTATCTTTTGGGTAATCGCTCGTGTCGTACATATCTATTTTTTCTGCCATATCTTTATACACATCCTCGGTTTGTATTTCCATCAACAAAGAATCTGTGTCGGTATATAACACCTCGCATCTATCGC